GCGAGTATTTAAAATTTTTATATGAATAATATGTCATAAAGTAAATTTCTAGATTTTTCCGTCTGTATAGTATTATAAATAAACTCCCGCCAAGTGCATTGAGTAAAATCCGTTGACCTGTTTTACATTTATATTATTTTATTAAATAAAAGCATTATTGTAATCCCTAGAAAAGAACACCACTCGAGATCAGTGATAACAGTCATAACTCACAATCACGTCTGTGTCGTGCATTGTTTGAAGAAAAAAAAAATTATATCACTTTCCGTCACATTAACTAAGTAAAGCGGAACAGACCAAGCGCTCATAGAGAAGCAACAACTGTTCCCCGTAATGTTTCGTTGTTTAAACTTATGAGTTTCGAGCATAATATTTTGGTCACTATCTAATGTCAGAAAACGATGACAGGTTAAAAAGTATAAATTATATTTTAATTTAAAACTAAAACATTTCAATGAAACAAAAATTCAGCCAGCGGTTAAATGTCGGTATCCAGTATGTGATTGCGTTTTTAAACCACAATAGCTATGAAATTATAATTATCTTTAGGTATGTACTTCAATATGAAAATACATTTTATTATTTGTGTCTTCGGTTTTTGTTTGTTTGGTTGTTAGACTTTTCGCACTACCATATAAATCATATACAAAAACGTTTGGTGAAATTTGTTTCTTATGATATTTACTCGTATTACAGAATTTATTAACGTAAGTTGTAAAAACGTATTTTTAGTTTTCTTTCTTTTCCACACAGGGAGAAAAAGGCCATGAAATAAATAGAGTAGTTGCATAATCTGAGCAAGTAAATAATGGCTATCTATTCATATTTTGTATAATTGTATACACAAATCTGAGAATACCAATGAATTTATGTATAATATAATACATACAACATAAACATGACGTGTTGTTCTTACAGCTCGCTATTTTCAAAAAACCTTCAAGTTGAATCTTTTTTTAAACTTAAATTAATTGCATAGCTATTAATAATTATTATGTTATAATTCTTAACGTAAATTGTTAACGTAAAATGCTTTATGTTTAAACTTAAAATAGATACATAGTTAGACTGTAAAAGTAATTTCAGTCGTAATAAATTAGATCTTACTAATAAGCAATAAAATATATGAAATAAGTACGTAATAAAATAACTATAAATTAATTAATAATTATAAATTATAATACGATTACGTTTAATGAAAAAATGAACCTAAAACAACTCTATTTGAAAAATTAAACTATCCTATGTAGGTATCTAATAATAATTATAAAAAGGGTAATGAAAAAATCCACTTTAAATGTAAAAAAAAAAAAAAATGGATTATTTAAAAAGAATGAGTGGATGAGAGGATTAGGATGGTACATTTATTCTACAACTTCCCACTTGGCCAATAATAATAATTCGGTTTGAATATTTAATATTTTCCATTCACACTGTTAGTATGGATGATTAAATTAATATCAAATAAAATCGAGTTAGTTTGTAATTAGTTATAAATTATAAATTGTCCAATGTTGTTAGAATGTGTTTAGCATACACTGTACACTTTATTTGTTAGAATTGATTTTTTTAAGTAAATGCAAATGCAACGTCGTTTGATGTCAAATATGAGTCGTTTTTTTCATTTTGCTATAGATGCAATGTTATATCCCAATGGCTTTCAATACACAATTATGCCTCTGCGAAGTCTTATTCCAATACGGTATGTATTTCAATTGTTGGGCGTTGTCAACAAATTCACTTTTTACCATTTACCATTTGATAGGGGTTTTTTTTTATGACAGCCCGATGAAATCTATTTAAATGGTATAGTTTCTCGAGTTTCTATAGGAGTAGTTATAAAATTCCAATGTTTCAATAAAACCAAATCATATGATCATACTAAAAACAGTATAATAGCTTACAATATAAAATCCACTTTATTTAAATAATAAAATAAAATTATGAATATTTCACYATGACATGTAAACTAAAAATATATATTCGTTATACAATCTATATACATAATCTGAAAGTCAAAATTACAAATATGTATTTTAATTGCAGTTGAGTACTCAGAATTTTCTAAAGCTAGTGAATGGTAGAGGATTATAAGCTAATATTTGCAGAATAGTCAATATTGACTGGTAATAATCAAACAAAATATATATATATATATATATAATATAACGTTGTTGTTTATTTATCGCTTGGTGTCTGACAAATAATTGGTTTTTAGTCTAGTAAAAACAAAAATATATAATATATATTTACAATGTATATGTACTTTTTATAAATAATTATATACGTATGTTGTTTAATGTTGTCAAAAAAAGAATTAATAATAAGGTTAACGGGTTAACTGAAAACAAAAAATTAATTCTTATTATCTACATTTTGTAACACGAATTAAACGTTATCTCTTACATGTTTCGTTTCTAGAGCTGTTCATGATTCAGTGCATATTAAACTTGAAGTAATGTTAATTTTGTAACTTGTTTATGATTTAATAGTTGAATTATTATAGCGTGTTTCTAAAGTTTGTTTCAAGATAATATTTATTCACATAAAATGTATACATGTATAAGTATTATGAATATATTTTATTTTTTGTCTTCAACCTTATAGACACCTATCATAGAAATGTATTATCAGTTTACCACCTTTACGATCAGTGTCACAAGATGGTTTAAATTTTCTTTTATTTAACTTTTTGTATACTATCTTAATTTTAACAATTTTAAAAATAATGCATGTGACGTATTTTTGTTTTCAATTTCCTTTGAATGACATTTGATTATTTTAAGTCAGTTAAAGCCCAAGATCAAAGTCGAAGCACGATTAATGTTTATGCATTTTAAATGTACATTAACTTAAAATATGATGAAGAACAATATTAGATGATAATTGAGTAACATAGCAATACTCGTATGTTTTTTCGACACAATTAATTTACTTTTGTTTTTTCCTAATTAATAGTTTTTATTAATTACTATTTATATTATTAGATTGATGTAAAACAATAAAAATGTAATTGTTTTATACAATTAGAGTATCTAATTGTTTTTCACCAAAGCTCCAGAAAATTTTCTAACAAATGGGTCTTATTAAAATTTTTCTCGATTTCCTTAAACACATATCTACAGTAAAAACTTACATGTCAAAATTCAATAGTTTTTGGCATTATTGGAATTAACCCTCCTATACCATTTCATTTCGATCTTATTTGAATACAGTATATTGTGTAAAAATATTCGTTTGTTCCGATGTGTATGTATATATATATATATACCTAACTGCCCTAACCGGAATCATTTCTGTTTGTTTGATCATAATATTATATCTGTGGTACTCCAATATTCGGTTAGACACTTCCAATGGAATCATTAAAATCGTCTATTTCGTTTGGTAGGTTTTTTCTTAACCGTATTGGATTTTTAAAATACAATTTTAAGATGGTTATCCTGTGTTTATACCATAAACATCCCTCTTGTCTTCCACATGGGTACACATATATTCTTATTGCACCATCACCCTGAAGTTATTACTGTCGATGATTTATTTCCTTTGAATAACTTTCCATTGAATATTTTTTACGGTTTTTTTTTTAGATATACCATTGAAAAAATAACTTTCGGACATTAAAACTTAATATAATTTAAATGTATATTGCTCGTTACATACGCGGCTACTTAATGAACAGGAAGAACAAACCAAGTGCGCAATATAATATATAAGTCCATCTGACAATCTCAAATATAATTATAATCCGATAATCGTCGAATACAGCAGATACAACCAGAAATGAACACAACATTTCGGGATTTCTGTATCAGTCACTACGTCAGATCGATCATCCATCAAACAGACACTAAGCTTTATAAAATAAATACAAATTGAAAATTTGTTTTAAACAATTAATATATTATAATATACTAATGTGTAACAACAAAAATTATTGTAATAACTAATATTCTGTAATTATTATAAAATATTAGCTAATAGCGACTACAGTCAAGATATAAGTTAATAATAAAAATATATACATATATATACCTATCAGAATAATAGATATATTCAATTTATAACGATATATAAAATGAATTAATTTTTAATTTTCTGTTTACACTTTTTTCGTTTATTCGTTTACTTTTTTTTCTGTCTGAGAAAATGATTGATAATATATAGTATTGGATAATGACCGTATACTTATCTATACATATATATAATATAAATATTTATGTTTTTTTGATAAAAACTTTTTATTTTTTTAAACACACTTTCTTCGTATATAACTATATATTATTATGATTCTATTATACAAATCATAATATTATATAACTTTTTCGTATCTATAAGTAAGCTTTGTAGACTTGTTGAATGTAGATTCTATACCTAGGTGTATTGTTAATAATCAAATATTTATTGCGGATATGAAATACCTACTGTAAACTGCTAGATTATTACTATAAGTATTAGAAATCTTTAGACCCCATCGAAAATACAAATTAAATTATTATACCTTCCAATAATTAGTTAAATATTCAATTATGAGGTTCTACGGTTTAAAACTAACTTAAGGTTAGTCATCTATATTCTAAAAATATAATTATGTTATTTCTGTCTCAGATTTATTAAAACTATGAAATGTTAATTATATTTAAAATGGCCGTTTTAAATTTAATGTTTTGGAAATATTAGACCATTTAGAACAATTATTTAATATTTTGTAATATTTACAAATTTATAATTATTAAATTAAATTATCACGCCCAACGGGAATCGATAACGATCACGCGCAGATAAACCACGCCCACCGGCCAACCACAGTAAGTCACGTGCGCTTAGTCACGCCCGTGATCAACTGCAAAGGGTCACGTGTTCTAGGCTCACCCAGCAGCCATCCGTAGCGTTTCCCGACCGCGCAAGCACAGAAACGCCTCTGCAGGACCCTATAAAACCCAGTGCACTGCGCCATGAACGCCAGTTTCAGAGCAAGCCGAATCGGAGCAGCAACCAACTGGAAGAGAAGTCAACTACCACACCAGGCACCTGTGGCTCGACCGCTGGTGACAACATGTCAGACCATAGCAGTCAAATGGACCAGACCCACCAGTCCCACCCATCAACCTGCAGCCAGCCAGTCCTGACCCCGGCGGAAGCGTCTGCAAAGACCTCTGCTGCCAGTAGCGGACCGACCGTCAAGAAACTTAAGGTGGCAGATCCCCTCCAGGACAGCCCCGGACTAACTCAGAATTCCAACGGACATGATTGGAGCGCCAATCTGGGGGAGAAGCTTAACAAAGCGAGGTTCATCATCAGAGGTCAGCACGAAGATCGTGATGGATGGAAACGTGAACGAGGTACTCCGAGCCCACCTTGAGCTTCTTCTGGCCCGTACCGCTGACGCTTTCATGACAGTTGACTAGCTTCTCGAGAAGAACAGCAACGTCATCGGCTTGCCCAAATACGACCCACTTTTGGCCGGTGTCTCCAACGAGAAGTCCACGCCCAACGCCTCCACAGATATGGAACTTACCCCAGAGTTTTGGGACAGCCAGGCCTCTACAAACGTCGAGGATTGGTCTAAAGTCGTCAGAAGGTGCTCCAGGCAAGCCAAAACAACGATGACTGCGGCGGACCACTGGAGGCTTCAGCTACGACCGTAATGCCGCCGTGGGCACATCATACCATACCCAGCTCAGCCACGACAATTGGGGCTCCGGAAACGGCTTCACCTGAATGTCCTTCCGGGACCTGACCATCTTCAACTGCTATCTCTGCCCCAGGCTTACGATCCAAGAGTTCATAACCTCTCTGAGTGATCTCGACGATTTAATCAGAGCTAGGGGTAACGTCTCCATTATACTGACTGGGGATTTCAACTCATGACACGTCGAATGGGGCTCGAGAGTCAGCAACCCTAGAGGCCGGGCACTCTTTGACCTCGACTCCAGCTTAGGGCTTATTCTTGCAAACTCTGGTACCACCCCCACGTTCAGACGTGGAGCAGCTACTTTCATCATAGATATCACATGCTACAGAGGCACAGCCCTCAGGAATTCTAAGGTATATGAGGCTGAATCGTTGAGCAACCATAACTACGTCCTCTTTTTTTTTATTATTTGTGGTTAAATCGTGGCGCTAGAATTAGAGGGAAACTGTACTCAGCCATATTTTTACAATTATAAATAATGAATATACAAAGACTGATAGGCTCTATCCCATCTATTTTTCACCTTTGGTGTACAATACAACTTAATATTACAGATAGTTAGTGGAGTATTTAAACTAATATTCCTCTTTGGGTTTGACGCTCCTCCTCTTCCTTGAGTTTTTCCTTCGGTGCTACTCTAATTTCATTTACTATAAACTCTGATTGTCTATATCCCCTCTTTTTTGTTAGCATAACACATTCGGTTTTTCTACCGCCTATCTCAAATAATTTTCTTTCATCCATGTGGATATTTTTTCCAACGCCTCGTTTGTCGTTTCTTCCAGAACTTCAGTTGTTCGTCCCGTTACGATGAGGGCCACATCATCCACGTCTACTTGCTTGCAAAGTGCTTTCCAGCTCCTATTCTTAATCTTCTATATCTCATTCTTGAGCGCCTTCTGCGACTCTCTGTAGTTTAAAAGTTCCGTACTATTAGGATCATTGTCTCTCCTTCTATTTACCCGTTTGAGTTTCCTGTGTACGCTTAGACATTTCTTTCTTAAATCTGCAATCTCATTTGTCCACCAATGCATTTACTTCTTATTTCCACGGTAATTTGCTTTCGGCATGCTGCTATCGCAATCCAGTCCCAGGTACTTGGATAGTGCGTCGGCCCCAGCCTGTGCGCAATCTGTAGGTGGTACTATAGTCCTTTCTATTTATTCCCGCAGCTTGACTTCATTCAGTTTCCTCCAACTCCATTTAGGACCACCGTTTTGGTGTGCTAACTTTCTCGGTGTGGATAATACATCAAGTTCTGTTTCTTCCACCGAGTCTTCTATGCCCACGAGGAATAGAAGAACGGTCGGCGAAGGGCGCCTGATGCCTGTCGTTTCTCCTAATTCGATCTTAAGGAGATGGCTAGCGAGTTGGCCTGCTCCTTATTAGGGTCTTCCAATACCATATTTCCAGATTTTGATCTTCTGGACTACGTCCTCTTTAACATAGTCAATCCCGCCCAGGTCTCAGCACCACTGGACCTCACCTTGGCGACAACTGCGGCTGGACTGTGAAAAAGTTCAACGGAGACGCCTTGAATCTCTACCTGGTTTCTGCACGCTCGGAACTTCCTGCAAGGTTATCAATCGTGGGGAAGCTCTCACGTCGGCCGATCAACTGGAAGACTTTCTACTTGGCGCCTGCGACGCCTGCATGCCGACAACGAGACCCGGTGACTCGCAGACTGATGGAATGAAGCTATCGCCGAGCTACGCAGGTCGCCACTGGCCCATCATAGACAATACCAAGCGTGTCTCAGATGGACCAACCACCCGGGCATACAAGAGGCCAGATTTTGCTATTCCGCAGCCAAGAGGAATCTCAGGATAGCAATACGTGAAGCTAAGACCAAGTCCTGTGCTGATATCTGCTCTCAGGTGGACACGGATCCCTAACGGGTAGGCAGAGCCTCCTAACATATATTTTATACAATAGCAGTTGAAAAATAAAAGAAATATATAGTCATAATTTTTTTTATAAGCATTCAAAGTTTGAATTTTGAAAAAATACGTAAAATTCACTAAAATTCGCAAATTAATTTAAGCTAGAAAATTCATAAAAATTTTTCTTTTTAAATCTAAGATTTGAAAATTTTTAATAGTCTATAATATATCTTAGACAGATAAACCGTTATCGCTCAAAATCGGTTTTCGTATACAATGATACAATATCATTGAATTCAAATTTAATTCCATCCATTACAGTAACCCACTTGTAACCTACTGTACAGCAGATCGACATCCACGACTTACCCGCTTTTTTTTTTATTAAATTATACAATTCTATATTAAATATTTAGTGCCTAACAATTTATTTTAAATATTGATTATTATTATTTTAACATTAGGTTAAATGCCAATGCCTTGTCCCGCAAATGTCTAATTTTCTTCAGCCCATAAGTTAGGTTGGCTGTATCAAACACTTTTGTGCACGCGCGATTTATGAACGTATTCGAAAAGTGTATTATATTATTACATCCATAATATTAATATAGCGAGGCGACGATTTTCAAGCCCGTTTGAATTAGCCTGTGTTTAGATTAAAGAGACCTTACTACGTATATAAAACTATATATATATATAAGTTAAATTAGTACTTTTATATTACTTTTAAAAATGAAAAATATAGCAGTTTTAATCATCTGTGAGACTGTATAATATTATGTCTATAATGCTATAATATAATAATAATAATAATATAATCTATAAACCTAGATATTAATACCTTGGTTGAATAATAAATCTTAGACCCTCTCGACCTTATAACGAAAATTCAACCAAGATATTCAACATAAGAAGAGTGTTGAAATTAGTGATAAAAGCTACAAATTAAATTTGAAATAGTTCGTGATCTTTGGGGATAATTGTGGTCAAAAGTATTTATATTTATAACAACAGAAACCTCGTTGTGGGCACACATTACAAACGGGAAGTTCTACAATACGACTACATGTATCTTGAGTTGAAAAATAGTTCATACAGTAAAAAACTAAAGAATAAATAATTTATAAAGTCATATGCAATATCTGTAGTAAAAAATTTGATATTTTAATTATAGTCAAATTTCTGTAAATACTTTTATCTTCTATTGCTACATTACAATTATTACAATATTATGTATGTTAAAGTTGTGTCGTTACTTATAATTAATATTACTAACCTTTTGTGCTTTAAGTGACATATTATGCGTAGCTAGCACTCAGAGTGTTAGTGGAATATTTTGGTAAAATGAATGATCATGTTGATAATTAATAACTAATAACTCATAAGTTAGATTRAAAATTATTTTTTTTTATTAATGCATTAAAGGTATGTTGTAAAATATAACTTATTAGCTTATGTGTTCCGCATGTAAATTGACATGCAAAAGTACTTATTCGTATTACTAATACATTATTATTTATTAATATGTCCATAATTGGTTCTGAATTTGCGAGTGGCATTCATTATCGTAGAATGTGTACTACAATTAATTAAGGTCACTCATTTTTCTTTATAAAGGGGAGGGGTTATGTACGATTGTTTTTTATGATATTGACAAAATTTGACTTTGGGCTGGCTGTAAAAAAGGTTGGAAACTGTGGTTAAGAATATTGTTTTTGGATGACATATTAACGTTATAATGTTATATAATATGTATGTAAAAACAATTAAATTTAAAAAAAAAATGGAATTTTGAATTTTAATGTGAAGAAAAATGTAATTCAATTTGTGGATTTAATGAATAAACAGATATCGTGTGAAAGTGATATAGTAATATAACGTGATGTTGAGTTTAAAGTGAAAATGTCGTGGTCATTGGTCGTTTTTGTAATGGAACAAAGCCAATAAAAAAGAACGTTCAAATAAAAGGAATGGTGAGCATATAATATTATATATAATCTTCCCCTTTATACGATCCCGCATTTTATAACTTCAATTTCACTGTACTGGGTGCAAGAATGGTCATAATATCACAAACAAAACTATAATCAACTTCGTTAGGTTGCAATATTTTTATAATGTATCTAATAATATATAAATTGGGTATAATTGACTCAAAATATATACAACATGACGTGTAATTTGTATTAAAATAAATGTAAGTTTGTATATTATCAATTTATTAAAACATTAATTGCAGTTTGCGCCAAACTTAAAATTGATTATTATTTCAATAGTACATAATATTATATATTTCGATAGCACCAGTATAAGACATAAACTAATAATAATTATAGCTTATATATAGTATATACGTTATAAATAATAGCATAGAATATGCAATTTTAATTTCTTATCTTACTAACCTATTCTCACTCATCGTTCTGTTTCATGTCAGAATTGACTTTAAAACTACCGAATAACAACAGCAATATATTACA